GTGTATCTTCACATTGTTCCTATTGAAGCAAGCAAATGTATGTTAATCTACTGAAAAATCTTGGAAGAAAAGATAAAAATTACAAGAGACTCTTGAGGTACATATTTTGCTTCTATTTACACTTATGTTGAATTAGATAGCTCTGCCAAGCATGCTTTCAGCTAATAAATGTCATTGCCAATTAACTAAATGCTGGGTGGAGAAAACCTACATTCTAGCAGTCATCGCATTTTTACAGCCTCAAGAACCTTAGCTGTGCATCGTCATGGCTGATGTCCTTCTCTCTGGAGGAACTGAACAGTAGAGCTTTTCCTCTTTGGAGGAAATGAACAGGCTAGTGTTTACATCCCAATACTGTGAATTCAGAACCCCGTGTGTGAAGCCAGATATTCTAATGATCCCTCAGGGAAGGCCTAGGTGATCACAGATTTAGCTTAGTCTGGGACTTACTGAGTTGAGGAAGAAAGAGAATGCCGATGATGGTGAAAATACAGGAAGCAGAAGAAAAGAAAATGAAGGAGTCAAGAAAGACAGAGCATAAAAAGTACTGAAAGGGAGCTTCCCTGGAGGCTCAGTGGTAAAGAATTTGCCTGTCAATGCAGGAAAAATGGATTTGATCCCTGATCCAAGAAGATCCCACGTGCCTCAGAGCAATGCAGCCCATGCACCACAACTATTGAACCTGTGCCCTAGAGCCTGGGAACCGCAACTACGGAAGCCCAAGCACCTAGAGTCTGTGCTCTGCAACGAGAGAAGGCACTGCAATGAGAAGGCTGTATAACACAGCTAGAGAAAAGCCTGAGTAGCAGTGAAGACCCAGCACAGCAAAAAAATTAATTAATTAATGAAAGAAATACTGAATGAATAAGATCTTGACCTCAATTTGCTTATTGCTCTAGGTTCTCTTTAGTTGCAACCTAAACTGACAAAAATACAACTCAGATTGCCTCAAGCAAAGCAAAACAAAACTCCCACCCCCAACATAATTGTCTCATTATGTGAGAGTCCAGGGATACCACATTTCAGACACATAGCTGGCACATCATGGGACAGTCTCTACCCCCATCTTTTGACCCTGCTCATCTCAGCAGTGATTTTTTCCTCCAGCAGAACATGGTGGCAAGGAAGACCACTGGCAGATGCTGGCTCACAGGTTCTCATAAGATAAGCTTTAAGCTTGAGAACCTTGTAGGAGGAAAGACAACCCCACCTCTAGCGGGTGCACGTGTCAGGTTTCATGCAGGATTCTGGCTGATTCTGTGCTCAGTGCCCCCTGGATAGAGGCATATAATCAATAGGGATTGGCCAAGCCAGGTCACATGATAATCCTTAAAGCCAGGAATGGGTGAGATTCCAAATGACACTAAAACCAAGTACGTATAGAACAGATTTTTGGACTCTATGGGAGAAGGCAAGGGTGGGATGATCTGAGAGAACAGCATCGAAACATGTATATTATCAAGTGTGAAACATATCGCCAGTCCAGGCTGGATGCGTGAGACAAGTGCTCGGGGCTGGTGCACTGGGATGACCCAGAGGGATTGGGTGGAGAGGGAGGTGGGAGGGGGGATCAGGATGGGGAACACATGTAAATCCATGGCTGATTCATGTCAATGTATGGCAAAAAAACACTACAGTATTGTAAAGTAATTAGCCTCCAACTAGTAAAAATAATTGGGAAAAAAATTAAAAATAAAATAAAACCAAGTACAGTATTGTTTCTGATTTTGTTTTGTTTTTTAAATATTTCAACATTTTGGCTGCAAGGCATGTGGATTCAGTGCTCCAACCAGGGATGGAACCCACACCCCCCTGCATTGGAAGGTGGATTCTTAATCACTGGGCCGCCAGGGAAGTCCCATCCAAGTTCAGTCAGTTCAGTCGCTCAGTCGTGTGCAACTCTTTGCGATCCCATGAACTGCAGCACACCAGGCCTCCCTGTCTACCACCAACTCCAGGAGTTTACCCAAACTCCTGTCCATTGAGTTGGGGATGCCATCCAACCATCCCGCCCTCTGTCGTCCCCTTCTCCTTCTGCCCTCAATCTTTCCCAGCATCAGGGTCTTTTCAAATGAGTCAGCTCTTCGCATCAGGTGGCCGAAGTATTGGAGTTTCAGCTACAACATCAGTCCTTCCAATGAACACCCAGGATTGATCTCCTTTAGGATGGACTGGTTGGATCTCCTTGCAGTCCAAGGGACTCTCAAGAGTCTTCTCCAACACCACAGTTCAAAAGCATCAATTCTTCGGTGGTCAGCTTTCTTTATAGTCCAACTCTCATATCCATACAATGATACATGGGACATACATATAGTCCCATCCAAAACCATGTAGAATGGAAGAGATATTTTTTCACAAAAGGAAGTGATTTGTGGAGATAGCCTGTCATGCTCTACTCTTCTGGTATAAATTATATGTGGGTAGTTTCTGTGGAACTGGAGCTGACCATTGAAACAAACTGTAATTCCTCAAGTGCAGTCAGGAGATGGGTGATTTATTTCTTCAATGGCCCTAGCAAGAAGAACATACTTTTAAGGAACTATCCAATGACCTATCTTATCTCTTGAATTTTTATCAAAGGTAAAAGTTAGATGTTTGTGCTGCTGACCATGCTCTGTTCCTATGACCTCAAAATAAAGTTTGCTCAATGAAATAGGATTAAATTTGGGATTTTAAATTTTAACAAAGTTTAAATTGCTAAGTATGCCTAATTTGTTAGCTGAAAAACTATTGTTATGAAGGTGTTAACAAAGGAATAGAAATCATTAATTGATCACATACATTCATGTTGCTTGTCCAGTATCTGATTTGTTACCTTCTGGGTTTCTGGGATCAGAGACACTCTGGGCACAGCATTTAAGGAGGCACTTTCTCTCAGGTCCTTGCAGTGAAGGATCTACATCTAAGGGTGAGTATCTCTTTAAATTTTTCTAACTTGAGTGCCTCTTGCCCTGGCTCTTAAAGAGAAACTGACTCAGGGGCTGACTCTGCACTTGCACTCCTGAGAGTGGCTGCCTCCTTAAACGTTGTGCCCTGAGCACCTGTGTGACTTTGCCCTAGGCTGGCCCTAGGCAGGGCAAGGATACAACATAGTGATGACAGGAATGCCGTGTGTCCGAAGGCAAAGTCGCTGTTTAGGTTGGCTTCCTCAAGGCTCTGGAATGGCCCGGAAAGGAAATCATATCTAAATATTCATGAATTCCAGGGCCTTGCATTTCAATCCAAAAGTCATTGCCGAGCTAGAGTGAGGTCCAGTAATAAAATAAGTTGTAGCAGAAGCTGAGTCTAAAAGATGCTCAGGTGAGTGTAGAAGCAAGAAGAACACTGGAAAGGCAGGCGCCAAGACGAATCAAAACACAGGCTCTTGTGGGCACGGGGGTCGATAGGATCTTCACAGGCTCACATTTTATTTGTTACGTGATATTTCATCGTGAGAATAGAACCTAATTGTTCTGAGTCACAGACTTATTGAAATATAATTCACAAAGCATATGATTCATCCATTTAAAGTGTACAACTCAGTGGTGTTTAGTATAGTCACAGAGCTGTGCAACCATCACAAAAATCTTAGAGCATTTCCATCATTCCAAAGAGAAACCTCATGCTCTTTACCCATCACTTCTAACCCTCTCCTCACTCCCAGTGCTAGGCAACCACTAGTGTAATGCTGAAGCTTCAATAGCTTGACCACCAGATGCAAAGAGCTGACTCACTGGAGAAGACCCTGATGCTGGGAAATATTGAAGGCAGAAGGAGAAGGGGATGACAGAAGATGAGATGGTTGGATGGCATCATCAACTCAATGGACATGAATTTGCGGAAACTCGAGGAGATAGTGAAGGACAGAGGAGCCTGGCATGCTGCAGTCCACGGGGTCACAAAGAGTTGGACAGGATTTAGCAACTGAAAAATGACAACAAAGTGTGGTTTATTTTCAAATGTTTGCAATATTGATCATTTGAGTTGTTTTCAATATTTCACAATTGTAAGCAATGCTCCATGGGACACACGTAAAGGAGGAATAGGCACTGTTGCTTTCAGGTGGATCCTGTATATGGAAGAACCTTGTATTTTGCTGAGCACCTTGCTGACACAGGTGCACAGAGGAGGATGGGATCAGAATTCGACTTTAGAAGTGGGGTGAGTCCCCGAGTAATGGGGGACATATTTTCAGACTGGGAGGAGGTGCAACACTAGGGGTGGGGTTGAGGAAGTCAGATGGGAATGGACAAAAACACAACAGGACTGAGCAGACATTCTTCAATAGCGTGGCAGTTGGCCATAGGTATTTTCAAAGTGGGGATGACTGCTTGTCAACTCAAAGTTGGCTCTGTGAATGTGGCACAGACTCTCCCCACATCGGCCCCTCCTGACTCGTGTCAGTCTTCTGTAGCTGCCATTGTATGTGCTCGCTGATGCACGCTTGGAAGCCATGTGCATATGTCTGTACACGTGTGCACATGCATGTGTCAGTGAGGAAGATGCTGAGGCTCCTTTTAGAGTGGATGTTATGTTAGTAAGAATAGTGTCTACAGAAGCAAGAACCTGAGGGCTTCTGTGAGTGCAAGAAGCTAAGTGGCCTTAAAATTCACCAAATCTTGGCAGCACTGTGCTGGAATGAAGAATTCAACCAATGGTTATGTTACCCAATCAGGGCTCATGCACCCGCCGAACAGAAAGCCAATCTGACAGCAGACATTTGCAGCAAAGTAAGGGTTGATTTGCAGTGCGCCAAACACGGAGAACGGGCAGCTCATGCTCAAAAGACCTGAACTCCCAGATGACTTTCAAGCAGCAGTTTTTGGAAACGGTGTTAGGGAACAGCTGTGTGAAACAGATGTTTAAAAAGCTCAAGGGCTTTCTTCTGATTGGTTGATGGTGAGGTTATTCCTTTAACAGGATGATGTTAAAGGAATCTCAGTTTTCTGGTTCCAACCAGGCCGAGGTCTAAATGCTTGTGGTCAGCATGGAGTCACCATCCTCCGCTTAGGTGGGGGCTCTCAGTTTCTGCAGAACAACCCAAAGATATGTGTTAGATCATTATGTACATCCCTTTAGTATGGCCTAGGATTCCTATGAGTCTATTGTCCTCATCAGAGAAGGCAATGGCAACCCACTCCAGTACTCTTGCCTGGAAAATCCCATGGATGGAGGGGCCTGGTAGGCTGCAGTCCATGGGGTTGCTAAGAGTCAGATATGACTGAGCGACTTCACTTTCACGCATTGGAGAAGGAAATGGCAACCCACTCCAGTGTTCTTGCCTGGAGAATCCCAGGGACGGGGGAGCCTGGAGGGCTGCCGCCTATGGGTTCGCACAGAGTCGGACACGACTGAAGCGACTTAGCAGCAGCAGCATTGTCCTCATCACTGACTAATTGAGCTTTGCTCTCTGGAACTTGGGGGAAGGCCCAGGAGACTAAAGCCACGCTTTCTGCAAACAAGAAATGAGGGAGGGGGCTTTTGTACCCAGAAGGGCCCTGCTGGGTCCTGCTTGGGTTTAACTCCATCTTTTCTTTGATATTCCTCAGTCTTGAGGGGAATAGGAACCAGACAGGGAAAGGAATAAAATTTTAGAAAGAACAGTTCCTCATAAACTCAGCAAGGGAACTCGATTTTAGGGGGACTTGTTTTCAATTAGATGTTCACAAGCTATGACTTCCCGGATGACAGCTGGGGTGGGCATCTTCATGAATGCACCACTTCCCTTCCCTTTCAAGATGATGTTTCCAAAGGAACTATTCCCAGGCCTGAAATGGCTGATCTGGAATGAATTAGGACTTCTGTGACTTGTGAAATGTGATGGTTTTCCCAGAGCCTTGCTCCAGCCTCCAGAGAGACTGGTAATGAACTGTGTGCCTCAGCTTGAACACATCAACTGCAGACACGCACCAGTTTAGTGGTGAAAAGTCATTCCTGGTTCTTGTCTTACCTGATGCCCCAGTGATAGACCCCAGGATATCATTCAAAGGTGGGAAACCTCTTCTCTAAGGAATTGCCCCCACTACAAGGTCTCAACAGAGTAAGTAGCAGAATTAAGATGGCAAATCTGGACTTTAGACTCCTGACTATTTGTGAGTTCTTTCAGCTCTATTTCTTAGATATGATTAAGCCCAGAATGTCTGAAGAGAAATGTTTGGGAGGGGCGAAATAGTTTGGAAGGGATTGCACTCCAACAAGTGAGAAGAGACACAAAATTCCAAGGGCATCAGGGCTGGTGGTGCTCCTAAAATTGTCTCTCATCAAAGCAAATGATGTCATTTTTAGACAAAAGGACGTAACTGTGTCCACACATCTATACTTAATATCACAAACTAGGAAAGTGAAGAATGTCAAAGCTGTCTCCTCATGTGACTTCATAGTGTAGCTTTGCTTAATGAGATTTTGAGAGAGAAACTTGGTCTTAATCACATATTATAGTTTATTCTTTTTTTTAGCAAGTAGCTTAAATTTTTTTTAAAATCAAGTTTATTTATTTATTTTTTGGCTAAGCTGGGTCTTCGCTGCTTTGCGAGGGCTTTCTCTAGTTGCGGCAAGTAGGGGCTACTGTTCGTGTGGTGCACGGGCATTTCACGGCGGCGGTTTCTCCTGTTGTGGGGCACGGGCTCAGTACTTGTGGCACGTGGGCTGAGTTGGTCTGCTGCACGAGAAATCTTCCCGGGCCAGGGATCGAGTCTGTTTCCCCCGCTTTGGCAACTGGATTCTTACCCACTGCATCAGCAAGGAAGTCCTAGTTCAATCTCTGCACGAAGTTCTTTTAGAATGTAACAGATGCTGAAAGAAGAATTATACTATTGATAGCATGGTGTCTGGCACACAGTAGGTGCTCAAGAAATAAATAGTGAAGGGGTAAATGAAGAGAGGACTGAAGTAACCAAAAATCAAAATTAGATTCATTTCTCAAGGATGAACTTTCAATTAAGTGACTTTGGTTATGATTTCTTTGGTTCTTCATGGAGATTTCTGTCTGTATATAGTGTTTTCCCCACATTTAGAAGGTTGGGCTCTTTCTGCAACTCAGTCTGATGGTTTTGATTTAAATAACGCCATTGGACATGAGTTTGAGCAACTCTGGGAGGTAGTGAAGGACAGGAAAGTCTGGCATGCTGCAGTTCATGGGGTTACAAAGAGTTGGACATGACTAACTGAACAACAGCAAAAAATAACAAGCGTTTTTGAGGAAGTCAGTTGACAACACACAATATTTATACATATGCAATGAGATCTCAATATTAATAAAACCCTATGTATAAATGCTACACAAACACACCTAATTTATTCTATACTTGGCAATGGATCGCATGCTATGATGCTGTCTTACAGTTCCATGCCCTGGGTGTGTGGATGCTTTAATATAATGCTCATGTAGGTATCTTGGGACTATTATAATTTGTATGCAGAGACTAATGTCAACACATTTGCGTTTAAGTCTTCAAGTGTCCCACTAAATTATTTCCTTCTCTTTAGGCATATTTTTCTCATCTGGATTTGATGTAGATTTGCTCTCACATAAGTATCTGAGGAATGAGTCTGGACATCACTGAATAGGGCTGCTGGAAGGGAGGTGAGGGTGGGAGTCTTGCGGCTGACCATTAAGTTGTGGTGTGGGCGTTTGGTTGAGAAAAACCAGCTGGCGGAGCAATGGTTCTATGTCTGATTCGCAGACATGGGCAGTGACCCCACCATCTGGTCAAGGAGGACTCACATGCTTTTAGCGACTTCTTGTTTATTCTCAGAGTTTAACTTTGAGTTGAAATCAATTCTTTGCCAAAATCTTGATTTAATTAAGCATATCTAATTCTAATTTTAGAACTGAGCTTGGACCTTTATTCTAGTTCCTGCTCCAAGTGGAGCTCAAGGGAAAATAATGGTTTCTTCAAGATCCTTTCTGTCTTATAAAATTTAAGCGCAACCGGGCAGGGAGTAACTGAGCATCTCAACTAGGTTAGTGTCGGAAAGCCCTCTGAACTGTGAAATCAGGCTCATACAACAAGGTGGGCTCATGCCTGGGCAGAAGAGAAAAGAGAAGGCAAAACGTTAAACATCTAAAACATTTGAAACCAGATTTTAATTGAAGTTTTCATTATTTAGTGGGAAAATCAGGTTCTGGAAAACCTATCTTGGTTTCTTCACATAGATTATAATGTAGTTTGGACTCTGAAAATATTACACATCATTTGAGCCTATTGAAATTTTCTTTTCTTCCTTTTAAAAGCATTTTAAAATGAAGTATAGTTAATCTACATTGTGTGAGTTTAAATTGTAAGCAAAGTGATTCAGCTATATATGTGTTCATATATATTAATATATATACATACATATATATTCTTTTCAGACTCATTCCTGCTATAGGTTATTATAACAGAAGATAATATACTTAGTATATAAGATAATGAGTTTAGTTCCCTGTGCCGTATAGTAGGTCCCTGTTGTTTACCTATTTTATATATAGTGGTGTGTATATATTAGTTACAAATTCCTAAATTATCCCTCCCTGTATTCCCCCTTTGGTAATCATGTTTGTTTTCTATGTCTGTGGATCTATTCTGTTTTGTACACAAGTTCATTTGTATCATTTTTTTTAGGATTTCACATATAAATGATATCATGTGATATTTGTCTCTTCAGCCTGTTGAATTTAACACAGTGACTGACAAAGTGTAGGGGAATTAAAGGACTCCCAAGCCACTTGTTTCATTTATTCAGTCAAAACCCATTTACTGGTCACCTTCTTTCCAAGCAGGGAACTGAGCCCTGTCTAGGCCATCTGAAGGCTTCCAGACCCAGTATCCCAATGCCTCCATCACAAGCACCATCCTCACCATCACATCACCATCACCAGCATCATCTTAACACCACCACCCCCCCCAAACCAGAACCCCGGTGCTATCCCCTTCTGGCACCATCACCAACACCATTCTCTTCTGGAGCTCTAGGCTTTATTCAGACACTAACATTTTATTTTCACCCCAACCCTATAAGGCAGAGAACATAGGCCCCATTTAGTTTTGATGGAGATGGAGATAGGGAACACTGACATTACTTGTGTGAGTCCCATGCTAATGAAGGGAGTGCGTGCGTGCTAAGTCACTTCAGTCGTGTCTGACTCTTTGCGACCCCATGGACCGTAGCCCACCAGGCTCCTCTGTCCATGGGATCCTCCAGGGAAGAATACTGGAGAGGGTTGTCTCGTACTCTTCCAGGGGATCTTCCCGACCTGAGGATCAAACCCACATCTTTTATGTCTCCTGCACTGGCAGGTGGGTCCTTTATCACTAGCGCCACCTGGAAGAACCATACCAATTTTCCACCTCCCACATACTTGGTTTGCTGGGGGATGCAACAGGAAGCACCCTTCAATAACACCGAGGACAAAAACTTAGTGACGATTTGCTATGTTTATATCAGTGCTTACATATCTGGAAGCATCTTTATATTTGTTACATTATTTAAGCTTATAACAAGGGTGTATTATCATGGTATGGTGGCCCAGTGGTAAAGAATCTGCCTGCCAATTCAGATGCCAGAGACGCGGGATTGATCCCTGTGTTGGGAAGATCCCCTGGAGGAGGAAATAGCAACCCACTCCAGGATTCTTGCCTGGAGAATCCCATGGACAGAGGAGCCTGGTAGGCTACAGTCCATGGGGTCACAAAGAGTTGGACACGACTGACCACACACATACAACACACACATACACACTATCATGGTCAGATTTAAAACGTGTTTTACTGGATATCTCAGTCCCAAAGTCAATGTGCAATAAATTAGGCATCTGATAGCACATTTCAAAAATCAATCAAGTGTGATGTAGGTTTTTCCAGGGCCTTTGGTCAATTCTGGATCATCTTCCTCCTGGACATGGGCATGTGAAAAGCTAAACTGTAAAGTGCCTGTATTCAAATGGCCAAAGGGTAATACTAAGACATTTGCTGAATTGGAATAGTTTTTTTTTTAATTTTTAGCTGTTTATTTTATACTGGAGTATAGTTGAGTAACAACATTATGTTAGTTGTTGGCTTACAGAAAAGTGATTCAGTTTGTGCACAGATGTGTATCTATTCTGGAAACGGCACTTTTCAAAAACAAAGGTTTATACCTGAGTGGGCTTCCCTGGTGGTTCAGTGCTAAAGAATCCGAGTGCAATGCAGCAGCTGCAGGAGACTTGGTTTGGTCCCTGGGTCGGGAAGATCCTCTGGAGGAGGAAATGGCCACCCACTCCAGTATTCTTGCCTGGAGAATCTCATGGACAGAGGAGCCTGGCAGGCTACAGGCCATAGGGTCACAGAGAATCAGACAGAACTGAAGTGATGTAGCATGCACATACCTGGTGTCCCCGATGACTGATTTAATCACTGATTGACTACTTCCTGCAAGAAAGGTGCTGGGCTGGTGTGGATACAAGATGAGAGAGACACAGGTCCAGCCTGTGACTACTTCCTCTCTGGTGAGAGAGCCAGATCCCCGGGAAAGTGTTTGACTCAAGAACTGCTGTACACCCAGACCTCCATAGGCACAGAGAAGTGTCAGCCTGGAACCCAGCGGCATTTTCAGGCTAAGGGCCTCCTGTGCTGAGTTCTGAAGCACAAATCGCAGCTAATCAGGTGGAAAGGAGGACTAGGGAAAAGGTTGGGCTGAGTGAACAGCACACAGCATCTTCGTGGAGGCTGGAAGTCCGGATCAAGGTGCTGGCTGACTCAGTTTCAGGAGGACTCTCCTTCCCGGCTTGTAGAGGACCACTTTCTCCATGTGAGCTCATAACACCCTCCAGAACTGCAAGGAATGAGCATTGGGTGCTTAAGGCCCCTATCTGCAGTACTCTGTTACGGCAGCCTGCGACAGGTTCCCTACAACCCTACCCTCTCTATGTCAGGAGAGAGCATTCATTTCTTTGAATTCACTGCTGTGATTTTCCAACACCAGTGTGGGTAACTCACACAGCTCAAACCCAGCACATCCCATTTGGCTAGCTTGATCTACCTCCACCCCTCAGGCTTCAAACCTGTTCCTCTTCTATTTTTCTCCCATCTGAGTAAAGGTCATTCCCATTCCTTTACTTTGCTAACTGCCTTTCAGCTACTCAGGCTTTCTTTAGGTTCTGAAATGTCCCCACCCCAGGGCCTTTGCATATGCTGCTTTCTCTACTTGGGATGGGCTGGTCCCCACACTCCACTTGCTATATCCAACGCATGCTCAGAGAGGCAATCCCGGATACGCCATCAGTCTGTCTTACACAACTGCATTCTTTTCCATCATGGAACTCACTGCACTTTAGAATTGCTTATTTATTTGTGGATTTAAATGATTAATAATATCTGCCTCATCTCCCCACCAGATGATATCCTCCAGCGGGGCATGAACCATCTATTTTATCCATCACTGCAGCTGGTTCTCAGTAGGCCCTTCCTGAGACAGTGGATCTCTAGTTTGGCTGAATGTTGGAAGCAGCTGGAAAATTTTTAAAATTCTGATGCCTGTGTGTTTCCCCCAGAATTTTTGATTCAACTGGACACTTATTTTTTTTTTCTTGGTAAAGCTCCCAAGGAGGTTCTAAGGTTCAACAAAGTTCAAGATTGCTAAAAACTCATATTTTTGGACCTACAACTGGATTTATGGAATTGTCTTTGTGGGTAGAAGCTTGAGGATTTGCACTTAGATAGACTACCCAGGAGATTTTGAAGCAGACTCAAAATTTGAGGCCCACGGGTGCTGGGAGCCACATCAGAGTGGTTGTGGAAGAGACCCCAGTGGGCAGTAGGTGGAGGGGGGTAGGGGAGATGCCAGCTGGAGGTCCCAGGGCTGGTAGGGGCTCCTGCACTTTGGCTGAAACTTCCCATCATTGGAGGCTGCTAAAAAATTCAGGTGTTCAGGCTTCACCCTCAGCTCAACTCCAATACAGTCTTACTTAATTGATCTTGGATCTTTGGTGGGGCCCTGGTGTCTGAATTGTTTAAAAACTCTCCCTGTGATTCTGAAGCAGCCAAGGCTTAGGACGGTGGATAGGAGAAGCCCAGCAGAAGAGGCCTGAGCAGGTGGGATGGAAGGAGGGGGCTGAGCTCTGGGTGGAGCTGGTGGCTAAAAGGAGTGATAAGCCAGGGTTTGGAGGCCGTGGCTGAACCATCAGGTTCTAGGTTGGGAGAATGTGTTCACTTCTTTGAATATACTCTTTGAGTTTACTGAAAAACAACTTACCGCAATCTCTGCGGCTTAGAAGAACAGACACATACTCCTTCACAGTTATGGTGCCTGGAAACCCAAAACCAAGGTGCTGGCAGGACTGGTTTCTTCTGGAGGCTGAGGAAGAACCCACTTTACACTTTTCTCCCAGCTTCCAGGGGCAGTCATCCATCCCTGGCTTGTAGACGCATTCTTTGGCTCTCTGCCTCCGTCTCCACATTCCCTCCCCCTGGAGCTTCTCCTCTGTCTCTCTGTCTTCAATCTCTGCTCCTTTCTCTTAAAGGACAGCAGTCGTAGGGTTTAGTTGTTCAGTCGCCAAGTCGTGTCTGACTCTTTGTGACCCCATGGACTGCAGCATGCCAGGCCTCCCTGGCCCTCACCATCTCCTGGAGTCTGCCCAAGTTCATGTCCATTGCATCAGTGATGCCATTCAACCACCTCATCCTCTGTCACCCGTAGAGCCCACCCTAAGTCCAGTTTGGGCTCATCTTGAAGTCCTTCCCAGGTGGCGCAGTGGTAAAAAATCTGCCTGTCAATGCAGGAGGCACAGGAGACCTGGGTTCAGTCCCTGGGTCAGGAAGATCCCCTGGAGTAGGAAATGGCAACACACTCCAGTATTCTCTCCTGGAGAATTCAGAGGAGTCTGTCAGACTAGAGTCTGTGGGGTTGCACAGAGCTGGACATGACTGAGCAGGTGTGCACGCATGCACGCACTTGAAGTTCTTGCCTCTGCAAAGACCCTATTTCCAATTAGAGTCACATCCACAGGCACTAGGAGTTAGGACTTGGAATGGATTTCGGGGACACAGTTCAATCTACTCGAGAGGGTGCAAACCGCTCAGTTCCCTCCAGACTGTGTGGCTGACCGAGGAGGAAGCCCCTGGAGAGATGCCTGGGATGAGATCAGGACTTTGCATTCTTGCTTCTGAAACTGAGTCCCTGAAGACACAGCCCGAGGTGAATGTTAATGGTGGTGGGGAGTGGCAAGACTCTCAGATTTGAGATCAACAGCTTTGAAATTTTACATACATACACACTCTGTCAATTAAGGTTCTCCAGGTGGGTGAATGGGTGGGTGGTTGGGATATTGCCAGTTTCCCCACAAGCTTTCTGGGAGGGGGTCCTCTGGAGAGGTTATTCTTAAGCAGATGTTGTATTTAAGCCTTATTATTATTATCGTTATTATTTTGGTTAGTTATTTTTACAGAGTGTTTATTCATATGGGTGGCTTTGGACAGCTATGACAGTCTGCTCATTTCCAAGTTTTCAAGGAAACTTAAAATACTTGGCAGACAGAAAAGGACTTTATCTTTCCTACTGTGCAGAGTGGAGGCAAAGCTTGAGGGATTTTTTATGGCAGGGTGTGGCTGGCATTTTTGTTTACAGTAAATTGAAGAAGGAATTCTCTGGCAAAGCTAGATGCTAAATGTGAACATCTTCACGTAGACAGTCACGTGGTCCTCCTCTTCTGCTTTGTGATTAAAGAGGCTGTAATGGGTTCGTGGACCATTCTCTCAACCAGAACTGCAGAGACACTGTTATCACAGTAAGTAGCTCGAATTGCAGGTACTTTGAATGCAAAAAGAGCTTCCCTTGTGGCTCAGCTGGCAAAGAATCCGCCTGCAATGCAGGAGACCCTGGTTCGATTCCTGGGTTGAGAAGATCCCCTGGAGAAGGGAAAGGATAACCACTCCAGTATTCTGGCCTGGAGAATTCCATGGACTGTATGATCCATGGGGTCGCAAAGAGTCAGACACGACTAAGAGACTTTCCCTTTCACTTTGAATGCAAAAAAAGGGCAATATCCTCCTTCTCCACCCAGTAACTTTATGGTTTTAGCTAAGCATCAAACTCTGAAACATGTGTTTCCCTGATTTTGTTCAGTGGGCTGAAAACTGTCCATTTAGATAAAGCAAATGTTTTACACCCGTTTCCACGGAGGCTTCAGGCAGCAAGCTGTGGGCAGAGCTGCCTGGGGGATCCATTCGCTGCCCTGAGAAAGCACACATTCCAGAAAAATACGCCCACAATGACCTGCGCATCTTAAAACATGCTAGAAAAAGCTAAAAAAAAAAAAAAAAGCTAAAAAACACAAAAAGATATGAAAGATTTTTCCTTTCTTATCCAAACACCCATTGAAAGTTATTTTCCCCTTACCTAATAGACAGTGTGAATCTAAAATATGCTTAAAAGTAAGTTTTTCTTATTTGGAAAACAATCTGTGTTGATTGTGGAACACACCAGCAGATTAGAAAAACATAGAAAGAAGAAAATAAAATCATGAGGACTCTCACCTCCTGGGAACTTTACGTGTTTCCCTGGCCCCTTCCGGGCAAAACGAGCTGCTCCAAAAATCCTTCAAGGGCAGGTTTATCAGCCACAGCAGGACTTCACTGGTCTCTTATCATCTCCTCTCAGACCAGCTTTTCTTCCTTTCTGTTCACTGCTGATCTTCCAGACCATCACACTCCTAGAACCAGTTCCTGTGAATTCCCACAGGACCAGATTTTTTTTTTTTCTTTTTCTTTCCCTTGTTGGAGAGTCTCACCCTAAGTTGCAAACTTAATTTTGATTTCCAAATTTAAATGGCATCAAACTAATTTTATCATGGAGGTCACTGAATGACTGGAGAGATGGTTGGGAAGATGTAGGCAGAATAAATAGCTTTAGTTGTCAGTTTGCAGCCTCTGGGCATTGAGAAGGATTTCTTTGAGAGTTTATGCTCTAACCTGGGCAATGAGTCAGCCACATTGAAGTCTTTGGAGCTCTAAGGGTACCATTTACACCAAGACTTCTGCAGGATTTATTCATACCCTTGAAGGACCTCAGAAATGTCCAGAGGCTGCGGGACATAAACAAGAAATTAAGCCTCACCACCCTCGTTCAGCTCCTGGGTTCCTGGGCCCCTCCCACACTCCCTCCATAATGAAATTAGTTTAATCATATCTGGGATGGAGGTGAAATCAAATTTGTTATTTAGTTCTGCCGCTTGGGTAGAGGCTTTCTCAAGGGGACTGGAAAGAAGTATTGTGTCCTCTGGGAATTGAAGGGAATGTTTCTCAGCAAATTGTATTTGCTAAGATCATCAGTTAGTTGAGAAGGAAATTGTGTAGTGGTCTAAAAGGAAATGGTAATTATTCCAAGGAGATCTGCCTTTACATAGCACATTAAAAAGTACCTTCCATAATACGAAACCTAGAGGTGGGGTGTTCCAGAACTGAGTGTGACGGCTCAGGGCCTTGCTCCTGCTCTCAACCACCCTGGGTCGCCAGAGTGGAGTCCAGTGTGTGCCCAGGATTGCATGGCTGTCCTTCACTGCTGCATGGACAGCCGGAAAACACCTGCTTCCTCTTGGTTCTCTCCCACCTCCG